GTCAGAAAGCAGCTCAAAAAATCAACTGAATTCTTCTTTTAAATAGAAAATCTGAGTCCAGAAATACACTCGATTCTTGGGTGATCAAGTCCTCGCTGTTTACTTTTTGTTTTCTCTTATTGTTGAGTGGGATATGAGTCCAGAAAAGAAAAGTCCATTTAAGCACGGTCGGTCTGTTTTCATCTCTGATGCAATAAGAGGAGTTGCATATAAATTCAAAACATATACATATACTGAAATATACAGTATATTCATCTTGAAAGGCCACAGGAATAGCATAGAGCACATTATATCAAAACATGACGAAAAAAAACCCAAAACAATTATTTAAGCCGGGTGGTATAGTTGTGTGTTGTGGCATGCTGGACCACAGCTTTGGCTGGGTGAAGCTTTGGGTGCGAGTGTGTGTTTGCATCGACCCGTCAGGCCTCCGGTGAAACGGCGCCTCGGTCTACAAGCCGGAGGTCAGCCGAGCCTCGTATAATTACTCAGAGCACGTATTGTACAAAAGAAGATGATTTATTTTAAAAACGCCGAGGTCTTAGATGTACAAAATACTGCAGGAAAAGGTGTTCTGATACATTGCAGAGTAACAAAGAGGACCTCGTCTGACCCGTTAACGGTAAGGAGGCTGAAATATTACCGTGTTCTTATTCAAATAGCAGAGAAACATTTCTTTTTTTAAAACAATGAGATACAAAGATATTGAACAGTCAGCATTAGAAACAAGTTAGAAAGATTATATAAGGCCAGCTAAAACCAACCGCTCGATCCGAAACCTTTGTTTCTGTTCAGACTCTGTCCACATCTGCACTTTGAAAACCCCCTTTTCACAGTTACTGTGAACTTTAGTCCTCGTGCTTTTATCAAGCTTTTGAACAAGTTCCTTAACCGTAATTGGAACACGTCATTTTATTTTTATTATTTTAACTTTGAAGAAATGAAATAATAATTGGGAATGATCACCCAGCAAACAGAAGGATGAATTTGTTGTCACCTTTGGCCTTGCTTTATCTTTGACATTCTAGGACTGTCTTGCTTTTGCAAGTTATATTTGGGAACATCTAGCTTTACTTCTAGAGCAGCTTCAGAATCACACAACATATTCTTTGTATAGATTTTATATCATGTCTCGTAACGCTGATGCTAAAACCGCTAAAGTGAACATTTCCAGCTGCTTAGCCGTGTTTTTAGGTGTATGAAACCTGAAGCAGGAAAGGCAGCTTTGTCTGATTTTTTTTTGGGGGGGGGGGGGGGGGGGGGGGGGAGAGCTTGAAGATCTTCCCTTAAACTGAGCAATATGTTATGTTTTTAGATAAATTTAAAAAGTTTTAATCTTGAAGCCAAACGCACCAACAGATGTCACTTGGTGTCTAATTAGTTGTTCTGCTTATTAAGAAACTGCTGAAGTGCAAACTTTAAAAATCACATATGAAATACTTTAAAAAACAACTTTTTTTGAAGTGCTGCAGATGTGGACGTTGTCTCTCAAAAATGCCTCGACCACATGATGTGTGCCAGAATGATCAGCAGCAACAGCAGATTAAAAAACAAAAACTAAAAAAACGGCCTTATTGTCTTCTTACGTGGCAAACAACATCCAACCCATGGTTATGTCTACGGTTTAGAGAACCTACAGCACCACAGCATGCTCGGGTATACAAAATATCAATTTGATTAATAATGGCTCTATGTTATAGAAATTATAAAGTCGTCTTTTTATTTACTAATATATCTATTTAATAAAGCCAAGGCTTCAGGTTGAATCAACCCAGACAAACGTTTCTTTGATGAAACGGGTGAGAGCCTCCTCTTTCAGGATCCTCTAATGCAGTTAAGGGACATGAAGTTATTGAAGTCGGTAAGYGCAGTCTGCGGATGAGGCCGGTCCCAGTCCACAAGAGAAAAAAATAACAAAACACCAGCTTTCACCCACGGCCTCCTGTCCAGTTTTTTTTTCCATTTGGCAAAATGTAGGCTGTAAAAAGGAGGCCGAGTGCTTCAAAGATAAGGTGCCCAGAAACATTAACACTCGATCTCTGAATGAATCGTCTCAAGCTGACAGAAACCGGTTTTGGCCAAACAAAAACTTGTGTGACAACTGCTTCGATGCAATAATAATAATAATAATAATAAAGGAAGTACAGAGTTTGGTTTCGAAGTGAAATAAAACAAAATGACTAAAACATTTAAAAACAGCTGGTGGAAACAAACTGGTACTTCTCCTCGGGCAGCTGGACGAACGGTGACGCGGAGGAGAAAGGAAGAACTGGGAGCATCCGACGACAAAGCCACCCGGTTCCTACCCACAGGCCGGACGCCTCCCTGCCCGTTTGAACCCGGGCCCGCCCCGAGCCCAGTTCTTGCTCCCTTCCCCGCATGGCCGCGCAGCTGTCGGGACTCGTAACAGCCTGGGACTGGCCTCTCCTCTGTCCACTCCTCTCTGAATGTCTCTTTATTTGCCTGCTTCCAGCCTGGCTTCAAGTGCCAGCAAGTTAATGGCTACACCACTGTGCAAACTGCATTATGT